ACCTGCAGGGTGGAATGAGAGGCTGTGAGGCAGCGGTAAAGGTCATCTGTTCAAACTACAAACTGTTCAAGATACAAACTGTCTTTATTACGGGTGTGTGCGCGTGCATGTGTGAGCGTGTGTGTGTGTGTGTGTGTGTGTATGTGTATGTGTGTGTGTGTGTATGTGTGTGTGTGTGTGTGTGTGTGCGTGTGTGTATGTGTGTGTGTGTATGTGTGTGTGTGCATGTGTGTGTGCATGTGTGTGTGTATGTGTGTGTGTATGTGTGTGTGTATGTGTGTATGTGTGTGTGTGTGCATGTGTGTGTGTGTGCTTCTCCACGTGGAATCCAGAGGTCAACCTGAGGAGACGGGGGGGGGGGGGAACGTTGTTTCTTTGGTGTCTTCCAAACCTTGTTTTCTGACTCAGGACGATCAGAGGCTTGGCTGGTTGGCCATCAAGCCAAGGAAGAATCTGGCTCTCTGTACCTCCCTAGCACTGGGGTTACTAGTCTACACCACAGGACTAGAGAGAAGGTCAGTGGGTAAAGCCAAGCCTGATGACCTGAGTTCCACCCTTGGAACCCACAGTGAAAGAAGAAAACTACAGCAACTTGTCAACTGGCCTTCACACTCAGGCATGCACCCCCCCCCCAACAAATGTAAACAACATGAAAATTAAGAACAAACGTGGCACACTATGTCCGGCTTTTTTACGTGAGTTCTGGGGCTCCAACTCAGGTCCTCGTGCTGGCCTGGCAAGTATTTTATCAGCTGAGCCATCTCCCTTGCTCCCCACCACCCCCACCCACTGCCTTGGCTGAGACAGGGTCTCCAGAGCTCAGGTTAGCCTCAAACTGTGTAGCCTCAAGCTCATTCTTTTCTAAGGGTGACCTTTAAATTCCTGACCCTCCCCAGCTGAGATTCCAGGCACGTGTTCTTGGCTTCCCAAAGAGAGTTTCTGTAGATGCCCTCTTCAAGTGAATGTTTGTTTGTATCTTATCTTATGTATGAGTGTTTGCCTGCACGTCTGTATGTCTGTACGCGTATCAAATGTATGCTCAGAGGTCAGAAGAGCTCGTAGGATCCCCTGGAGCTGGAGTCACAATTGCGAACTGCTGTGTGGGTGCTGGGAACTGAACCTGGGTCCTCTGCAAGCCTAACAAGAGCTCTTAGCTACTGAGCCATTTCTACAGCTCCACAAAACGGTCTTTAAAGGTGAGCTTTAAGGTTGGTACATAGTGGTCTCTTTATAAACTCTTCAGGCTTCTAGAAGCTTAAAAAATGACAACAGTCAATGCGAGCAATTACATCAGTCAAGATAAGGCCTGGAAGAACTGTAAACTGTAGATGAGGAAAACCTGGGGATTTCGCGGTGAAGCAGGCAGTCCAAAGCAAAGTCCATTCTTTCTGTTTCAAAACAGGCTTTCTCTGTGTTGTCCATGTTGGCCTAGAACTTGTGTAAACCAGGTTAGCCTCAGATGTGGTAATCCTTCTGCCTCCGCTTTCTGAGTATGCCACCATGTCCGGCTGAGAAGGCGCTCTCTCTCTCTCTCTCTCTCTCTCTCTCTCTCTCTTTTGGTTTTTCGAGACAGGGTTTCTCTATAGCTTTGGAGCCTGTCCTGGAACTAGCTCTTGTAGACCAGGCTGGCCTCAAACTCCCAGAGATCTGCCTGCCTCTGCCTCCCGAGTGCAGGGATTAAAGGCATGCGCCACCACCGCCCAGCCAAGAAGACGCTTTAATAATTAAATAACTGTAGCACTAAAAATAAATCATTATTTTACTTTAGATTTAGATTTTTAATTCATGCACATGTCTACGTATGCCTGCCACACGCATGTAGTTGCCTCCTGGAGAACAAAAGAGGGGCTGGCTCCCTGGAGTTGGGGTAGAGGCTGTTGGGAGCTTCTTAACTTGAGTTTGGGGAACCAAACCTGGGTCCTCTGTAGGAGCAGCAAATGCTTGTAAGCACTGAGCCGTGCCTTTGGTTCCCTCATGTATTAGTACTGGTAGGCCTAAGGGAAACAGCAGTTTGCTTCGCCTATCCTAAATTCTTCCTCTCTAGAGATGCTAGTTTGGCTCTTTCTTCTGGGACGTTCCTCCAGGCTTTAAAACTGTAGGTTCTTATGACTTGTTTTTTTCCTGTAGCATACTGTCCGTTTTCTTCTCTGGTATTGAGGCAGTGTGTTACCATCAAGCCCCTCTTAATTTCTCCACTTCGGGTGTTGCCTACTGATGGCCCATGCAGAAGATTCAGGTTGTTTTCTCCTGTTCATCTTCACCTCCCCGCTCTAGGCCCTCATCTTCCCAATCTTTCTCAATCACACTAACTTTTTAGTTAATGTTTAGCGTCATATCATCAGTACATAACTAAAATAAATGTACTGTGAAGAATATTCTCAACTGATCCAAGTATAATATAGTCCAACTATATTTCTGCTCTGTACTCTAGGGTTTCCCAGGCATTCGTACTTGTACCTCAATTTTTTATTTGTTCTGTTTCCCTTGGGCTTCTCTCAACACTGAGCCGAAGCGTAAATCTCCATGTGTTCAAGAACATCCATTCCTCTCTCCATTCTGTCTTTGCCTGGAGACAGCCTCTTGTTGGTCACTGTTCTCCCACTTAGCCTTAGGCTCGACGTCTTGTTTTAACCCTTGCAACACAGCTTCCTTCCCGGGAGCTGCTCCCTCTTCTTTCCACAGGCTGCTTACGACCTGAAACTCCTTATCCTCCCTAGCTTACTCATGGCATTCAGTGGAAACATTCTTCCTAACAAGGACGTGCCCCAGAAATCTTGGGGAATTTTCTGACCTTTGATCGTTCGATGGTGGGAATGGGTACAGAACTCTCGGCCAGGGACCTGGGAGTCCTCACATTTGGACAGTTCTGCCCTGCTGTTTCCTGGGTTCAGAGTTGCTGCTGAAGGTCAGAACGTCACATTTGTTCTGATGCTCAAGCCCGGTTGGATCTTTTTTTTTTTTTTTCATTTGAGAAGTTTCTGGAGACATCTAACTTGTCCTCAGCTCTCATGAAGTGTCTTTGAAAATTTCATTCTTTAATTTTCGTTGTTGTTTTCTCTAGACAGGATTTCTCTGTGTAACCCTGGCTGTCCTGGAACTTGCTCTGTAGACCAGGCTGGCCTTGAACTCAGAGATTTGCCTGCCTCTGCATCCTGAATGCTGGGATTAAAGGAGTACACCACCACACCTGGCACACACTACCAGTTAGTGTGGTACCATACGCTACTGAGTGGTAGTGTATGCCTGAAAATCTCAGCCCTTCAGGGGAGGAGGCAAAAGGATCTGGAGATCATGGCAACCCTCAGCAGCACAGCAAATTGGATGCTTGGGCTACATGAGACCGTGCCTCAAAAAAAAAAAAATTTTTTTTTTGTTTGCTCTTTCTAAAACGGTATCAGTCAGATGATGGGTTTCCTAAATAGCGCTGACATCTTATCCTCCTCCTGTCTTCCCGTTTGTCTTTTTGTTCAACTTTCTAGAAATGTTCTTCAGCGTCACGGTTTAAGCATTCATCAGACAATTCCTACTTTTGAAGCAGCTGATTATTAAAGGGTCTTTCTCATTCTCTCAATACTCGTTCTGCTGCACGGAGGCTCAGACAATGAGTTCAGAACTTCTTTGTTCTCTGGGATAGGATTATAGGTGCTCCCCTTCACTGTCACCAGCTTCCTCTGCAGCTGGCTTTGTGCCTGCTGCCCCTCAGCTCCTTTTGTTTGGTCTCTAGTCTCTCTCACTTTCTTCAGACGCACAGTGACGAACAGTTCAGACACACTTGGATGCTCTGTGCGAGAGAGACTGCTTGTGGCATGTGGCACCTGACCTGGATTAGATAGCTTCTCCAACCCTGCCTCTCTGTAGAGGGCCAGCCTGACTGCCAGCATCCTGGGAACGTGGGGTGGGATGGTGATGGGGTCCTCACCAGTCAGTGATGAGCCTTCCACTTGTTCTCCCTGCTTCAGCGCATGGCATTGCCTCAGCCTCAGCTGTGCCCGATACCCCATGAACAGACCCTCTCTGGGTTATAGTCATGGGCAGCAAAGGCGTCCATTCTTTATACGGAGGAAAGATCTAGGGGTTGAAGACTTAGTATCGTTGCAAACACATATTATTTTATATTTATTTGTTTTAAAATTTGTATTTATTATTGTGTGTCTATGTAAATGCCGTGTGTGTGTGTGTGTGTGTGTGTGTGTAAACAGGAGGGCACGGGAATGCCCTGGTGAAAGGTGGAGGACAGAACCTGGAAGTCAGGCGTCTCTTCTTAGCGTGGGATCTGGGGCCAAACTAAGGTCAGCAGGCTTTCATGGCCAGGACTTTCACCTGCTGAGCCATCTGGCCCGCCTAGAAGCACATTTCATACTTGAATTCCTGCCTCTGGCTTCTGTGTCCAGCCAGCATCTTCTTTGCATGTCTGCACACAGCTAACACTCCCAAGCCGACCTTTCTAGCTTTTCCCACTGTGGCAGATCCTGTCTTCAGCTTTCATCATCTGGCTGAATTTTACTTTTTGACATTAGCATCCAAAGGCACTCGCTTCAAGGCTGATAGTTCTCATCTGCTGTCACTGTTTGTCTCTTTCTCATAGTTTGTGTAGTTTTTTAGTAATGAGTGTGGACAGAATGGAGGGCTGAGATGAATGCCATGAGCCACTGACCCGCCACATCCGAGCCTTTGCTGAAAATGCTTGGGGCTGGTTATGCTAAGATAACATGCTACCTGCTGGCCAATTTGGCTGGACAGATATGTGTTCCCTGCTGGAGACCAAGCAACTCCCACCTCCAGCTGCTGGAAAGCTCTCATTGACAACGAAGGGCAGTGGTCTCTTTGTGAGGCCTCCAGAGTCCCTAATGATGAGGTTCCCAAAGGGTACCACTCTATTAAAAGCCCACAGTGCTCTTTGTTGTCCAGAGGTAACCGTTCAGTGGCATGAATCATGGCTGCTTGGCTTTCTTACCCCAGAAAGGTCATGTTTATCTACTCATTTGGTCCCAGAGACTAGAGGAGGATCAGCTCTGCCAGGAGTAAACTTCCTCTCTCAGCTCCAACCCTGTCATTGTCCTGAGACTGCTCTTCTGGCTCCAATCCCTGGAGAGTCACACACGGAGAGACGCAAAGAGCTCAGGTATATGGGAGTGGGGGTGGGGTGGGAGTGAGGGGGAATGGAAGCTCTCAGTTATTTTCATAAGGAAATAGGCGATCGATACAGAAGTAAGTAATTAATTCACTGGTTCCTAACTCTAAGGAAATGGGTTATAGTTTACAGTTCTTGTAGGGTGTAAAATTATTTTCCAAGTAAATATTCTTCTGACTTCACAGAGATAAAAATAGTTGATAGAGCTACTGGAGTGTATTTAAAATAGATCCGTGATGTTTAATGTCTGAAGTCAGTTAAGAATGGGCATTCGCAGGAGACTATAACCCTTCCTTTTAGGTATTGGTTAATTCTAGGCAATAAGATGACTTCGATGTTTCTTTCCTTCTACATTTCTAGTTTAAGCAAAAGAGCCTGGAAATGTGTGAGATTTCAGGCCGACTGCTTCTTCTAGACCATACACGAGTTTTCAGGCCAAATTTTAGCTCTGTCTTCTAGTTGGTTTGCTTTTCTAATTCTTGCTACTCTCTTTTCAAGAGCTGAGTGAAAGCTCCCAAATATCTTCAGAGATGCATAGACAGCCCAGAGCACACAGACACATCCCAGGGGTCAGGGCTGAACTCACCTGCTGAAGTAGCAAGCAGTCACTGCTCCTGCTACGGTCATCCGCTGGCATGCAAGGATGAACTCGCTAGTCCAGATGAGGCCGATTAAATGGTACCACCACATGAACCGAATGCCCGAAAGAGGCTTGTATTCCACTTGGCCACCTTCCAGCACCTGGGCAGTGCCTACAATTGAAAATACAAACATGCTTCGCACCAATATTTCCCTCACCTTGGAAGATGGTTCAACAGGCCACGTTTCTTCATGCCTGGTCTTTGACACTGTGCAAAACACAGACGTCAACGCAAAATTTAAATCCATACAGCCAACACTAAGATTTGAGAATTTGAAGAATACGAACAGCAATATCGGCAGTGACCATAGGGAAAGGCAGCTGACATAGTAGGTGGTCTGAGCACAGAGTGGTACAATCTGGCTGGCTTCTGAAATAAAGCCTGGGCCACAGAAGTATCCCTCCGTGGATGAAAACAATTATCATTATCTTTATCGTTACCATAGTATCGTTATCTCGCCTTTCAGGAACACAATACTGCATTAAATTAAGGTCAGTAAGGTGTATTAATAGTGTTCCACTGCTGTGTGCTCCACCCTCCTTTCTCTTCCAGCCTAAAGATGGCTCAGAGGTTAAGAGCACTGACTGCTCTTCCAGAGGTCCTGAGTTCAATTCCCAACAACCACATGGTGGCTTACAGCCATCTATAATGAGACCTGGCGCCCCCTTCTGGCTTGCAGGCACACGTGGAAGGAATGCTATACACATAATATAATAAATAAATAGATATTTAAAAAAAAAGCAAAGAGAATCCTTTGGATTAGCTCTGTAGCTACCGGGGAATCAGCTGTGCTTGACTTCTGTATGTTCTCTCACGAGCTCCATAGGAAACTATAGTAAACTACTATATACTAAAGTACTGTAAGGAAGAGCACAGGCACGTTGAGCTCTGGTGACACCTACAATCTGCCTATGATTTGAACATGTGTTATATTTCTTGTCACAGCCACACATGGCCGTTCAGTTCATCCATTCATCTGCCTTTAAACATTCACAGTAGAGTTCACGCACAAAGGGAAAGGATGAAGATAATCACGTGTTAAGCAAAACAGATTCCACTGATGAAGGATGATCCTCTTTCCTTCCTGTCTAAGTTCTGCCGAACAAGATTCCCATGGTGGGAGGTAGTCGGGTAGCTCGCTTTGCAGACAGACGGCAACGTTGTTCTACTGAATGTTGAACCCGTTTTGGCTTGGAAGGAAATGTATTTCAGGTGAGGCACATATTCAGAAATCTGCCTGTGTTCTTCCTAAGCTGCTGCGCTTCGGAAAAGCATTCCCAAGCGCGAGCAAGTGGCCCCTCATGATGACAACGCCCTTTAGATAAGTCAGGCCAGCAGGCTTTGAGGAGAACACTCTGAACCATGTGAAGTACACAGGGCCTGAGAACAAGCAGGCCGTTCCTTTTGCAAGACCATTGAGTCCCAGCAGCAAATTATGTCTGGTGATATTTTGTTTGTGTTTTTAACAAATAAAGCTTGCCTGAAGATCAGAGTGCAGAACTAAGCCACTAGAGGCCAGGCAGTGGCGGCACACACCTTTAATCTTAGGACTCAGGAGACAGAGGCAGAGGGATCTCTGTTAGTTCAAGACCACCCTGGGCTACACGAAATTGACCCTAGACAGAGCTCACACAAAGGGTGATGCCCCGCCTTTAATCCCAGCACTAGGGAGGTGGAGACAGGAGTGATATGGCTGGAAGAGACAGGAGCTCAGAGCAGTCTGAGGATGCAGTCAGTCTGAGGATGTACAGGACACAGTCTGAGGACAGGACCACCCTTTTGGTCTGAGCATTGGTCTAGGTAAGAACTCTAGTGGCTGGCCGCTCTGCTTCTCTGATCTTCAGCATTAACACCTATATCTGACTCTGGGTTCTTCTTATGAAGTAAACAACTAGAATTCATATTACAATTATGATTCAGAGGTGGAGACTATTTACAGCGTCGGTGGCATCTCTTTTCTCACACAGACAGAGGCCGGTGTGGATGTTGAGAGGTCAATCTGCCCTCTTGGCTGCCCTCCATGGCCATGGCTACACATTTCCTAGCTTGTCACGCTGGTGACAAATAGTCACCAAGCGGAGCCTCTGAAGTGATAAATCAAGATCCACTTGGTCCTCAAAGACTCGACATCCTCCAAAGAAGCAAAACCCAGAGACTATTTTTGACAGATTTTTATGGGTTGAAGTGCTGAATCTCCCCTACTCAACCCATGTGCCATGTGTGCAGGCAATTGGATGTGCATGTGGCAGTCAGAGGGCAACCTTCAGGTCTGGGTCCTTGCCTTTCCATCTGGTTTGATACGGACTCTTTACTGCTGCATAAACCAGGTTAGCTGGCTCACAAACTTCAGGAGCTTCGTCTGTCTCCTCCCTTTTCCTATAGCATGTTGGGATTATAGAGATTTGTACTACCATGTCCAGCTTTTATGTAGATTCCGGGGATCCAAATGCAGGCTGTAAGCTCACACAGCAAATGCTTTTACACACGGAGCCATCTCTCTATCTCCCGAAACTTCCTTTTATTTGTTCCTCTGTATTGGCTTTTTTGAGCTGTTTACAGATGTTCACTGAGAGAGGATTATCTAGCGTCTCAATGCACTTGTTGGCATTTTGGAGCAGATATTGTCGTGTAGAGTATAGTGATTGCTTGATCTGTTTGTGGGCGTTTAGGAGCATGCTTTGCTTCTACTCCACATTTATGATGATTCAAAATACCTCCATATGATGCCAAATGCCACCCGGGAGGAAATCACGGCAAGAGGACCACTGCTTTATGCACGTCTCTTAAAGGATCAGGCATTGTGGCTGGAGGGCAAAAGCCTGGGAGCAGAAGGACCTTCACAGAGTTCCAGAGCCTGAGGGTGGGGCAAGCCCGCTTATGCATGCAGGACTGCCCTCTGCTGGATGGGCATTGTTGGTGCAGGCACGATCCCCTAGAGTAGCTGACCAAGAGTAAGCAAACCATAGAACCTTCTAAAAGGTTCTTATCTGAGGATGGTAATGGCTACTTCTCACACTCCTGTGACTCCATCTCATCCTGACTCTAAATGCGACACAAGTAGCCACCACTGGCAAATGTAATTAATGGACACGGAGCTAAGGAAAATGCGTGACGCACGGTTAACTACACATGACTTATAGGTTATACGGTTCCAAGGCTGAAACCAAACACTTACGGAACATCTACAGTTTTTGATGGATATTGGCTATTAGGAGGATAAATGGCAGCTGCACAAGACAACCAGAAGATCCCGCCTCTGAGAGTCCGAAGGACTTAAGGGGACCGTGCTGGATTGCGCATCTCGTCTTCTAGACAACTGCTTTATAATCTCTCCGCCAACCACCGAGCCAACAGCTTCACTTCCTGACACTCTAAGAAAAATGAGGCAATCGGAAGACCTCTCTGTGTGCCTGCCCCCACCGTGCTTATCGATGTGACCAGAATTTCACCTTGGCCCTTGAGAGGGTAAAGCTGCCCCTCCCTGAGGCTGAGACCAACCCTGTCATTAGATCCCACACACTTGAGAATGTGTCCTCGCAAGACTGTTCTTCTCCATCAAAATACTCCCTTTCCTGAGCCATTCTTAGCTCTTCTCCATTAAAAACCATCTATTCTGGACCACTTCCTTGGCTCTCTTTCATAGTCAGATCCCTCCAGATTAGCTATCCACACCAGATCCTTCCAATTCCTTTCCTCTGACTTTTCTGCTAAGAGTCTCCAGTCATGGCCCCCTCCCCGCTTATCTACAATCACAATAGCCTGACCTCCAAGGTTCTGTAAGACACCCACGCTGAGTTCGTTGTCCTTAGCTTAGCCGTGGAACCACTCCCGTGCCCTGGAAACCCTTTCCCAGAATGCCACTCTTGTCACCCACCCCCAGTCTTCACTGTCAGCCCCCTTTGCTCCCCTTCCTTATCTCCAGAGCCCACTTAGTTATTTTCCAGAGCAAATCTAGGCAAGTGTTCTACGACTAAGCTAACCCTTGGCCTTCTAGGGCATCTTCGCATTGAAATGTTCCAGAGCACAATCCTTTATCTACTCCCAAATACTGTTTATATGTTCCTTCTGAACTTCAGACTCATTGCTTATTAGAAAGAGTTGCTAAAACATAACGCTCCAAATTAATTTCTACTCAGGAAATGCCCCTCTCAACTTTCCGCCTTTTCTTAGTTAATGCCCATCTCTTCTTCCAACTGCTGAAGTTAGAGAAGACACAAAACACCCAAAGACTCTTCTGCCCCCACCTTTCGTCTAGTACATCGGCAAATATCGCTCACTCTGGAGGAACTGCAGAACCTAGTGTGTGACTCTGCGCCACAAAGACCTGGTAGCCACGCACCCACTGTCTCTCCCCATCCTGCCCTGAGATGAACACGGGGTCAGGTTTCTGTCCTCCAAACTTCCCATCTCACACCCCCAGGATTTGACTCCGTTCCTTCTCTGACTTCAGTCTGCTCTCTTAATGACACTATTCTAGCTGAATGTGCTTCCTTCCTGTACCCCAGAACCCCCTTCTTTACTGTCCTCTACTTGGGACATTCTTCCTTCCCTAAATTAGCCTTGTGGCCCTGTCTACACCACTGTCACGTCCTTGTTCAAGAATCTTTTACTCAACCCTAACCCTAACTTTAATGCTAAAGCCAAATTAAAAATTGAGTTCCTGTCTCCTCAGGCATTTGCTGTTCCCATCCTCTGATTTGATTTTCCCCACATCTCTTACCAATTATTATGGTCATTTGCTTACTTTACTTAATGCATGTTTTCCTCTATCTTCTGAAAACTTCATTGTCCACATGTTATAATAGGATTTTTTTTTCATTTTTCAAGACAAGTTTTCTCTCTCTATAGTCCTGGATGTCCTGGAACCTACCATGTAGACTCAAAAATTTACATGTTGTGCCTCCCAAGCGCTGGGATTAAAGGAGTGTGCCACCACTGCTTGGCTCAGGATTTGTAGCTCATAGTAAATGTTGACTAAGTGGGTGGAGATAGAGATCAATGGATATTCTGCAAAGGACATATTCTAATTTTTAGTTTTAATTTTACAGGTATGGGTTCTTGCCTGCATTTATGTCTGAGCACTGGTGCCTACGGAGGCCCAAAGAAGGTGCCATATTCCCTGGAACTGGAATTATACATGGTTGTAAGTTGCCCTCTGGGTGCTAGGAATTGAACCTGGGTCCTCTGGAAGAGCAGCGATATGGTTCCAGTCTCCAACATATTCTATTAAAGATGTTTGAGGCAACTTTCTAGATCCCTCTGGAATGCACTAGAATAATCTGGGTAGAATTCATTATACACTTAGCTGTAGCCTTGATGTTACTGGCAACTTTTAAAGCATTTTGAGAGGCTATATTGGTACACTGATATTGTAAATGACAGATTTGTAAGGAAGACAGACCAGCCAGCTAGGACAATTCCTCAAAGGGAGCAGACATAACTGGAAAAAAACTCGATTTCCTAGAACGTTCTGTGTATTTTCTTGGAGCTTTTCTTTCTTTTTTTTATTAAATATTTATTTAATTATTTATTTATTATGTATACAATGTTCTGTATATATTCTGTCTACATGTATGCCTGCAGGCCAGAAGAGGGCACCAGACCTCGTTACAGATGGTTGTAAGCCACTATGTGGTTGCTGGGAATTGAACTCAGGACCTTTGGAAGAGCAGGCAATGCTCTTAACTGCTGAGCTATCTCTCCAGCCCCCTTCTTGGAGCTTTTCTAGAAAAATGGCTCATGGGTCCTACTGAGTCTGTGGCCTTCTGACCCCCAACCTGGCTTCTGCCTCTGCTCTGGTTACAGGACAATTAGTGAAAACAAGAGGAAAATGTCATTGTCTTTAATGTTCAGCAGACAGCTACCCATTCAGCTGCAGCACCCTGAGCCAAGAGACAGAGAAAGAGCAAACATGTCCCTCTCCTCAGTGGGTAATAGCTGTGCTGGCTAGTTTGACAACAGCGTGGTACAAGCTGGACTCATCTTAATGGGGGAATCTTGCCATGGGCGGTCCAGAGGAGCAGCAGGTTGCTGTTGAAGTTCAGGTGTGAGCCCAGCAGTAGGGAATCCTCTGATGGACCAGTCTCGTTTAGGCAAGACCTCGGAACTACAGACCCTGGAATGTCTTTTGATTCTGCTGTGCCCTTACATGTTTGCTGCAGCTCTCTTTCTCTGGACTCTAGCATGGTGTGAGTGGACGTGGGGAGATCTCCACTGCCTTTAATATAGTGCATTTATCTCTTGGAAACAGCCCATTCTACTGGGCATTTTTACCTGTGGATTGTCAAGAAGATGACCCCTCCCTAAGCTGTACTGTCTAGTCTGATAATAATAATGAAAACTTATACAGAGTTTTGATGAATAAAAATAAATACGAGGATATTATTTACATCCAAGGTCTGTGAGTCTCATCTAAGGAGCTGCATAGATTGTAGCTCAAGTTAATGACTGACAGTTGAATCCCAATAGCCCGACTGGTTTAAAATCTTTTAACCTTAATGTCGGGAGATGCGTTCACAGGTCTCAGAGTACATCAGAGCTGAAACAAAGCTCTGAAAACAACAAAGTTAGACTAAGATGCTTTTGTCAAATAGCTTTTAGGTGAAAAATCCAAGAAGACAATCTAAAGGTTTAGAAAGGCACGTGGTGGAAAGTGGAACTCTTCAAGGTCAGGGAACAAGAACAAAGCAGCAGGTTATTACTGGCTGATGTTCTCGCCCTGGTAGGTTTGGTTGATGACCAAAGGTGACGATTAATTCCTTATACCCATTTATGTCCTCAATCTCCTGATGTAAAAAACTATTAACGAATAGGTATATACCCTAAAGTTTTAAAGTAGAGCTGACTGATTCTTTTTTTATGAAAAAGTTTAGGTTTGTGATTTCTTTAAGATTTCTTACAAGAGTACCTTTCATGATAAGTATTAAAGCAATTGACCCTTTTGCTGTAACTACAAAATGCAGCCTGCCCGTAAAAGATCTGACAAAAATACCTTGATTGCCACACGGTTAATCTATAACAAGTTGCTTGGGTATGAATGCATGTGGGTTCTTGGGATAATTGTTTTTCACCTGTAATCCATAAAATGTTTGATCACGTGAGGGAGATGAAAAACATGTTTTCACCTATAATCATTTGCTTGAGAAATGGGATGCAGCTGTTTTGACTCCTGGTCTGCCTGGGAGATTCTGTTGGGGTGGAAAAACTGTAAAACAACATGAGATAGAGATAGAGAATAAAGAAGAGAAAAAATAAAGAAGGAAACCATCGAGAGAATTTGTGAGTGTCTTTTTCTCTAACCTCCCTCAGATAGAAAAGTTTAGCCTCCCCAACTCCATGGATTCCTGCCAAAGCCCTGTGCTGCTGGAGGCTGGTCCCCCCAAGCAGCAGTAGAATCTCAACTGAGAAAAAACGCTCCCACCAGATTTGCCTGTGGGTGCAGTTTCTTGATTGATGATTGATGTGTGAGATTCCACCTTACCATGGGAGGTACCATTCCTGGCCTGGTGCTCTGGGAAAGCAGGCCGAGCAAGCCAGTAAGCAACACTCCTCCATGGCTCCTGCATCAACTTCTGCCTCCAGGTTCCTGCCCTGTTTGAGTTCCTGCCCTGACTTCCTTCAACATTGGACTGTGGTGTGGAAGCTTTCGGTCATGGTGTTTTATCACAGCATGTAAAAACTCCTTAACTAAAATGGCAACAGATTGTTTTTTCCTGCTGTACTGAGAACCTTGAGACATATGACATATTTATCCCTCTTGCTGGAGAACGGGAGGGACTACTGACTTGCTTCCTGCTATATTTCAAGTACCTGCTGAGGATACCCCCTCACAACACTCACACAACTTCACTCTAGGTCATAGAGATCCTGTTCTCTTATATCACGGCCCGAGAGGACATTAAATGGCACCAAGAGTCACTGTGCACTGTCTATCTGCATCCTCTGGCAAACATCCGTTCCCAAGATGAGGAAGCTGCTCCCCCTTCTCACAGGCACAGCTGGGGCATCTTCCTAGAGTCAAGAATTGATGCAGTTGCTGGCCCGCTTGGCCCAGAGCCAAGCCACTGACACTGGATGAAGAGGTCTTGGGGAACAAAGGGGACTCTGTGCTCTTGGGCAGCCCATGAGTGTGTGGAAAGGAGGCTCAGGTGGCCTGAGGGAGTCCACGACCCTGGAGGACAGCTGGGCGGGATGGGGCAGCTCTTTGTGGTACCTGCTCTGCTGTGAAGGCAAAGATCAGCTTACCTGGAGAGCTACATTCAGTTCTAGACACCCAGCTTTCTTTTCCTTCCCTGAGGTTCTGATGGAGGAAGGTCATTGGTTAAATAAAAAGAAACTGCTTGGCCCTCATTGGTTAGAAGATAGGTGGGAGGAGTAAACAGAACAGAACGCTGGGAGGAAGAGGAAGTGAGCTCAGATTCCACAGCTCTCCTCTCGGGAGCAGACGCCTCAGAGAGACGCCATGCTCCCAGCTCCCAGGCAGCCATGCTCCCAGCTCCCAGGCAGATGCATGCGATGAAGCTAAGCTCTGACCCAGGATGGACATAGGCTAGAATCTTCCCGGTAAGCGCACCTAGGGGCGCTACACAGATGATTAGAAATGGGCTAAATTAATATGTGAGAATTAGCCTAGAAGAGGCTAGATAGAAATGGGCCAAGCAGTGATTAAAAGAATACAGTTTCCATGTAATTATTTCGGGGCATAGAGCTAGCCATGTAGGCGGCTGGGGTGCTGGGAACGCAGCCCCGCCGCTCATATTACTACAAGGTTCCTCTCATCTGTGCCCACTGGGCTCTTACACTAACAGAGAACGATCATACCCTGACACACGGTCCTACGAAGGGGCTGTGGAAAAACAGGCTACCTTCAACCAGAGAAAGACCTGCCTCCCTGCCTTAACTCTGGGTCCTTGTGGCTGAGGCCATCAACGTTCTGTTGCTGGGCCCATGGAGGAGAATGTCACGGGGTACCAAATTAGCAGTTCGATCCCAAGTCAGCTTTGGGACATAACACCATGATGTCACCTTCATTTTCTTCTTGCCCAAGACCAGGCCCTCTCCTAGTATTCTCTCAACCTGCACTGGTCTGTTTCTGATGTTCTGGCAATTTCCAGCCTTTCTGCTCGCACAAGTGTGTACGTACCATTCGAGAGAGCGTGCCATTCGAGAGAGCTCCGCAGTCAGCAAGCCGTGGTTCATCTTTGCTGCATGATTATCAGCCAATGACTTACTACATCTTTCATTTTCTGGCTTAACTCTTGAGAATGGTAGCCAAGGATGACATTGAACTTCTGATTTTCCTGCTTCTACTTCCGGAATGCTTATTTTTACAAGCAAGTGCCACTTCGCTCAATTTGTGAGGTGCTGAGGGGTTGAAACCCAGGGTTTTGTGCCTGCTAGGGAAGCGCTCTACTCACTGAGCTATAGTCTCCAGCAACCTGAAGGCATCTAACAGTAGCCTTTCTATGGGCTTTGGTTCATATTAGTTTCACCTAAGTTTCCAACCCTGACTGACATTACTAACCCATGAAACCCAGCTTCCCCAAAGCCAACATAAAAGAGACATGGCAGAGCCACTGGCTCCACCACTGTCATCCCCAGACACCCCTGGTCGCACAAGAGATTTGGCGCTCACAGGGACGGGCTGACAGTTCTAAAACAGTGACACCTACCAGCAGTCCCCAGGCTCAGCAGCACAGCCACCCAGAGGACCCAGAAGAAGACAAGGGCAGCAAACGTCCACAGTGGCTGGAGCAGCAGGGACGGACAGCTGCTGATGGCTTGATTTGTGACGCGGAGAAGCTCCACTGACAATTTCATTCTCTTTCTGAGGGTGAAAATCAAGACGAGGAGAACCGCCTGTGGAGGAAGAGGTCAGAGTGAACCACTGCCGGGCAGAGAGGCACTGGGTGGGGCTGAGAGCAAACTGTTGAGCTGGCACCGAGCAGCTCTCTTTGAAGAAATCCATTACTTCTCTTATAACTGAATAGATAAAGTCCCAATCACTAACTGAGCCCCTGCCCTGTACTGGCCCCTGTGTGAGATCCTGCTGTCACAATAGCGAACAAGGCCAAAACCCTTCCTAAAGGAGCCAGTCTGAGTTTGAACGTGAGAATAGGCTCTTCAAAGGTCAGGGGGAACATCTTCTATTTTTCCCTCCTCCATGCCACGCACACAGAGATGGGGTGCAAATAAGCAAGAGCATATGAATGTGACATAAAAGGAGTGTTATTTGATATACCATCTTGACCGGGTTTCCCCTCTCTATCTAGATAGAAATAGTTGTAAGTCTCCCAGATTAAGGAAACCTCCGCCCTTCACTCCTACCTTATCCTGCCTTCTGTACTATTCTCTTCCTGGTCAAGTTTCTTGGTTTTCTTTGTCATTGCCTGTCTCCCACCTCTAACCCCTATCTCTTTATCTACCACAAATTCCTTGACCTCAACACTCTCCTTAACTGTTTTCCCTTAGGTCACAGGATGTGACCTCTGGAGTAGTAAGTCTTCTGGAATATCCCAGTTGTTATTGGCTGGAATTCAGTAACCTGGATTCAGAGCTGATGGCGGTTACTCAATTAGCTTTTGGAAGGGCTTGTCTTACCGTCACGACTGTCGTAATGATGGCAAAGGCCAGCATGCACTTCATATTCTCCCTTTCTGTGTCCAATTCTGTGCTGAGGTCGTTGGTGTAGTCGTAATACAACCACCATAAGACGCCGCAGACAACTGGAAAACAAAGTGAGCGCAGGCTTGGCATGTGTACTGAGATTACCCACTCTTCTACACACACACACACACACACACACACACACACACACACACACTGATA